TCTGGTTCGAAAGAATACATTAACTGTGTATCATCTGCGTATAAAAATGCTTTGCATAATTTTAAACATTTAGTTAATTCGCATGTATATATACTAAAAAGTAATGGACCCAGAATAGACCCTTGCGGCACACCACATTTTATTTGAGTTTTTCTGGATTGACCCTTGTCAGTTTGCACATATTGGACTCTGTTAGTTAAGTAACTTTTTATTAGATTAATGGAGGAATAAGAGAATCCAATATAATGCAAGATGGAATACGTCTAGGAGGGCAGTTGTGCAACTGTATCCTTGGCGAAACCCTGATTGGAATGCCGGTAGTATATTAAATGTATTTAGATGTTTACGAATTTGGATATTCATTATTTTTTCCAATACCTTTGAAAGTACCGGTAAAATGGAAATAGGACGCAGCTCATTAAAATTCGTTATTTTTGTTTTCTTTGGCAATGGAACTACTCTGGATTCCTTCCATTGGTCAGGAAAATAACTTTCAAGAAGACATGAATTTATTATGTGTGTTTAATAAGGCAATATAGTTGACAGGCACAATTTAATCATGTCAATACTCAACTTATCAGATCCAACCGATTTTGTGGTAATATTATTTATACAAGTTTTAATTTCATCTTCAGTTGTTAGGGAAAAACTAAATAATTCTACAAAATTTTGCTTTAAATTTGCGTTGTAATAACTTAAAAGATCTAAATTTGGAGGTGTATATTTGGAGTATTGCGATAAATGATTATTTATTTCCTCAGGTTTATTTAAATTATCTGGTAGGCAGCGCCGGATTTAGGGGGGGTCTTTGGGGGTCTATAGACCCGGGGCGCAAGCTTACAGGGGGCGCAAAATTATTTACTGGTAATTTTTGTTTTTTACTACAACCTAAAGGGTTTTCCCCTTTTTTTATTTTTCGTGTATTAATCAGTTTTAATAAAAAAATTATTTAAATTATAACCGTGATTGTTGCCATAGTATTATTATCTATGCATAGTATACGAAATATGTCATGTCACGTATTACGTAAGGCGCCCGACAAGTTGTTGGGCGACAAGAACTTTAGTTTGCAGAAATTGATTATTTCCACCGATGCGATGCGTATGGGCGTAAAGGTTTTTTAATATAAGAATATTTTATTACACTACGAACAACTATTAATTTAAATTAGTTTAAAACTATAGTTATATACAGTACCAGTCATATATATAAGTATGTATATATACAGTATAGGTATTAGCCTATTGAAAGATGACGTCAATATTGCGATAAACAAAGCTTCTCTAAAAGGACGCAAAGTTGAGTTGGCAAAATGTTAATTTTCTTATTTAGGTATTTGTTTTTTATATAGTTTTTGTTTATGTTTTTTCGACATTTTTTTTTATTACGGAGCTCACATGAAACAATTTAAGATTAAAGTATTCAAGTTTCAACTCAAAAAAAATAAACGTCGCTCAAAAAAATCAACTAAATTGGAAAAATAGTAGTGGTTACAAGATCAAAATTATTAAAAAAATCAAGAAATGTATTTCAAAAATATTGAGCGACCAATAATATTTTGACTTAAAAATGTATTATGTTCCTATACGACCTACAAAAAAAAATGGTGAGAAGCCAAAGATTTTGAGAAAAAAGGTTGGTTTAAAAAAGTTTTTAGCGACGTCTAAAATTTTTTTATCTGTTAAAACTCAAATACTTTAGACTTATTTTTTTTTATTTGATCTCCAAAATCAAAAAAATTTCGAAAAAATACTACAACCCTAATGTTTATGGTTAAATAAAATCCTTTTGTTAAGAAGTGACATTTCTTTGAATTTATTATATAGGTAGGGGCGGAAAATTTTTATTAGACCCGGGGCGCAAATTTTCATAATCCGGCGCTGCTGGTAGGGTTTTAGATTTACGTTTATTGTGAATATTTAAATCGCCTAACTTATTCCAAAGGACCCGGCTGTTGTTACGATAATTATTTGCACAATACTCCAAATATGCTTTTTTTTTGTTTTTTATTGCCGATGTTAGTTGGTTTTTAATCTGTTTATAATAATTCCAATGTTCTTCATGTTTGGTACGTTTAAATTTTGCAAGGGCTTTATCACGCAAGGACATCATAAATTTAATATTGTCAGTTAGCCAAGGAGGATTTTGCTTTTTAATTATTACTTTTTTGACAGGCGCTAATATATCAAAAATATTCATAATTATTGCATTAAAAAATTGTACCTTATCACATATATTATCAATAAGTAAGATATTATAGAAGGGAGCAGTTTCCAGAAAATTTGAAAGCAAATTATGGTCGAGGTATTTCAAGCTTCTGCACTGAATATATTTAGGACTAACTTTTGGTTGAACATAATTTATATTACAATAAACTAACATGTGATCTGAAACATTATATATTTCTTCTGTACCAGTAATGTATGACTGATTATATACTAAAATAATGTCTATGAGACTTGCTGAATTTTTAGTTATTCTAGTAGGAGAGTCAACAATTTGTTTAAGATTAAAAGAATCAATACAGTTTAAAAATGTCAAGGTTCATTGATGTTCAGACTGTAACAAATCTATATTAACATCACCCCCACAAATAATTTCATCACATTCGGGCAAGAAGTCAGATATAGCATTGTCTAACGATTCAATAAAATCAGGTATTTTTTTATTTGGTGGCCTGTATAGTACCCCAATTATATATGACTTATAATTAAACCTAATTTTAACCCAAAGTTGTTCAACACAGTTATTAGGTTCCGTATATAATAGTTCACAGCTTAAATTGTTGTTCAAAAACAATCCCACTCCACCACCTCTACTTACTCTATCTCGACGAAAGAACCTATATCCATCTATATCAATTAAATTAGTGTTTACATTTTCAGACAACCACGTTTCACAAACACCAATAAAATCAAATTTTTTTTGTGAGACAAAAACCTTAAAATCTGCAAAATTGTTTGTTAATGATCGTACATTATAAAATGCAAAAGATAAATTCCTCATTCCGTAAGTGTACTTAACAAAGAAAACCAGAAAAAAATAAAAAAAGTATAAGAGTATAATATAAATATTGCGTTATTATTGGGCATGAGAATAACCTTAGAACCACAATCCACACATGGATTTTGCCTAGAACTAACGAACGTAATATTTTCGCAAACAAAATTTACAGTAGGTTATTTTCAACTATAATAATTATAATTTTTTGATTAATTACCACACTGAGAAAAATGTATGTAATTTTACACAAGTTTCACACTAACTGAAGTTGTAAAAAATTACAAATTTTTGGTAAAAGTACATATTTTTGTGTTTTTAAGAAGATATATGTGTGAAATTAGATAAAAAATGTAAATTTACATATTCTTATAAAAGTACATAACATATAATGTGAATTTTATAAAATTTTAAAAGTATTATGTAAAATTTACATTAAAAAGTAAATTCTACATACAAATATTAAATATTACATATTATAGGTAACCTTTACACATTTCATGTAAATATCAACCAATAGGATTTGAGCATTAAGTCACGCGATGCGGCACACCCGTATGAAAACGAAACGAACATTTTGTTGGCCGAGTTAGGACGCGTCCTGTAGTGTTTATAGTTGTTTTTCGTATTATTTGGTAAGTATATTAATTATAAATAAGGAGCATAAAAGAAGAAACTAGGATGCCATCAATAAAATGAGATTTTCCCATTATTAATTGATATATTTTACTTAATTTTATTTAAAGAATTGCCTATTCATAAGTTATACTATTTTATTTAAATAAGTTCCAATATTAGTATATTAAACATCTATCCGGTAAAAACAATATATTTGGTGCTTTGATGTCAAGTGGTAAAAATGCACGTGTTTACAAATTAATATCTAGTTTAAGCAATAATTTTAGTTTAAAGAAATATTTTATTATAGGCTAATTTTACATTTTTTTCAGATCCAATTATTTTTTATTGAATAAATATTAGTTATTAGAACAAATAATAATAGGTTAGATTTTAGATATTATATTATTAAAATAAATCCTAATTTCTATTATTTTTTATATATATTTATATGTATTTGTTATATATATTTGTTATATATATATATATATGTATTTAAAAAATGTTTATTTATTATTGTTTTAAATATACAATTATTTTTAACTATCAATTTTATTTTATTTGGAAATAGATGTCCCTTCATTCTACCAATTTAAAAGTTATCTTTTAAAGTGTAGTATTTAAACTTAAAAAATTGCCTAAACCGTATAATAATCATACTATTTTTAACTTATTTATATTATTTAAAAATTAACAAAAAAATGCGTAATTCTCTTAATAAAAAAAATAAAAATGTACTACGCTTAAAAAGTTTGCTTCTAAATTAAAATTGTCTATTTTTTGTGTATATATACACTGTATATTATACAGTTTTATTTTTTTTTAAATACCTGTATATAGGTATTTTCAAAAAATTAAAACTGCAATATTACAAAATTTTGGGTTTATTTAACTTCTGCAATTAAATAAATTAAATATTTTGTACTAAAACTCTAATACTGAAACTGCAGTTATATATGTATTAAATTTACACAAACGTGTAAATATAAATTACATCTGTCATGTACATTTTAAACAAGTATGAATTATTTACAAATTTTGTGTAAACATAAATCACATATTTTATGTAAAAAAACATAGATATGTTTAAGTTACACAATCTATGTAATTTCACATCAGTTTACGAAGCTAACAAATAACCAACGACCAGCTATGTGAAAATTTTTCTCTGTGCACATACATGCATGAATTTAAAAATTTATATTGGTTTTTAAAAACGTCAAGTAATAATCAATAAGATTTAATAAATAAAAATGCTTTATTTTTAAAATGGTACCATTGTAACCTTTTTTCTTCTAAGATTGTAACACACGTGTGTCACGATACGACAGTATTTAGTATTTAGTATTATGAGATATTTGAGTTTAGATAAAATTACTTACACTAGTCATAATCGTTTGATATACTTTGGTTTCACTTGTTTCCAATTGGATGCATTTTTGATTAATTTTATTTAGGATATTCTCCATTATTCTATACTTTTTTTCGTCCATGTTTACACCTTATCTGAAACAAAATAATATAAATATTAAAATTCTTAGAATAGATAATTTTATCTTTCTAAATAATAAAACAACAAATTTAAAAAATAATTTATAAATAAATTTGGCAGGAAACAATTGTGGATTATCGCTTACAAATTAGTGTTATCTATAAAATTGAAAAACAATTTATAATTATTGATCCACTTCTACATTGACGAGCTGTGACTTTATGGGGCTTTAGTTACGGGCTGAAGTTTACAGAGGCTTTTGGGCATTTTATTCACGGGCTGAAGTTAGCTTTATTTAGGAAGCTGGGGTGTTTTGTACACCCCGCGTGCCTGCTTAAGGGTTAAGTACCTATCAAGTTTTATAAACGCCATTTTAGTTATGAGTGTTTAATAAAAACAAGTGTCTAGGGAAGTTTATAAAACGAGTTGCATACTATATTCATAAATATTTGACTTCTGACGAATTTAACCTCACTTTTTCGCAATGTATAATAAAGCCTTTATTATACATTGCGAAAAAGTGAGGTTAAATTCGTCAGAAGTCAAATATTTATGAATATAGTATGCAACTCGTTTTATAAACTTCCCTAGACACTTGTTTTTATTAAACACTCATAACTAAAATGGCGTTTATAAAACTTGATAGGTACTTAATATAGGTACTATGATCTACTCCTACATTAAGTAGCTGTGACTTTATTGCGTTTTAGTCACGGGTTGAAGTTAGCAACAGTGGCTCCTGGGCTATTTAGTTACGGGCACGATAAACAAACACCGGTATGCTGGTTATGAATCGAAAACTCGTTTGATCCGCACATGTGACAAGATTTTAACGTTTTAAATTTGCACGGGTGTTTTTCCACGATTTCTGTTGAGTTTTTTCTGCAATTATTGCGTTTAATAACTTTTTTCGATGAATAAGCCACGCACAAGGGTTTTACCACTTTATATTTACAAGGCATAAGCCATGCACGGGTGTTGGTTACATTTGATGTGCTTCTTTGTTTAAGGCTTAAACATGACGTCACATAACATGCGCATCAGCGTGTATCGTGGTCACGGGCTGAAGCTTTATTATACATTGGGAAAAAGTGAGGTTAAATCCGGGTTGTAGTCAGATATCACAAAGACTAGAGACTAGAGTATAAACCGATGGGAGTTCGGTTTTGTTGGTGCTAGAGGCGGATCGCTTAATGAAAAAGTATGAAAAATGGATGACTTTTTGACCCAGCAGGGACAAAATTTGATTACCGGAATAAAAATATTCCTGTATTTCTCGATTGGTCCTTTTATAAAGGTTATATAACCTATATGTGTGCACGTGTATCCGACAATTTTTTTCCAATGGTGGATAGATCCTGCTGAAATCATTGGACTTTAATACTAGTATCACCATGAAAGGCATGGAAAAATCCGTGCCAACAACACAAACTTGTTACGACGCGAGTCCATTGCAACAAGGAAGAAAGAAGAAAGTACAAACCGATATGGAGGGGAGGAGGCAAAAAGCGTCTGCTGCAGACGGTCTGCAATGATAAAGTTTCTCAGTGTGCCATATTTGTTATATGGTGGAAATTCAGAAAAATCGGCCAACTACACACGAAAAATGGGGGGTGAACAAAACCAAGTTAAAAAATTTCAAACATAATTAATAACATAAAGTATAAATTAAATTCTTGAAAAAAAAAACAGGCAACAATCACAACCAGACAATATTTTACACAATGCTAAATCATATAGCATTGCACTTAAAATAAAAACTAATACAAATTATCATCGCTGAGGAAACTTATAAACAATATACAATCTCGAAAAAAGAAACAAAGCTGGCAGGCTGGCATGCATGGTATGTGTAAAATAATTATGATATTTATACATAACTCAACTAAAAAAGTTTTTAATTGACCACGTGCTGCGGCATGCTGCCTACATAGCTCTCCGGCACACCGGCCCACTTAGCCCTCCGGACCACCGGCCCAACGGGATTTCTCCCGGTGTTCCGGCGGCCCAGCACGCCCCTGATTGGCCCTTATCAGATTGGGTTTTTGCCCAATGCAGTGCGCACTGCAGTTTTATTTGATATTTGCATCAAACATAGGAAGTTTGTGCTTCTGTCTCTAGTCTTCGTGTTTCAAATGTTTAACAAATAAAATTGGCTTTAAATTATTTTTTCTACTCCCTCCTTTAAAACGCTTATTATCGTACGTTTCCATGACACCAAGTGACCTTTTAAACTCACATTGACAAATTGGGGCTTTATCCCAGGTGGCATACTGACGTCTGCTGACGTTTAATTTTTTAACGTCATTTAAACGTCAGCAGACGTCAGTATACTACCTGGGATGGCGTTTTAGTCACGGGCTGAAGTTAGCAACAGGTTTTTAGTTACGGGCTGAAGTTAGTATTAATTTAGTTGACAGTTGTAAAATAATACTAAATGTGAAAATTATTTTATTATCTCAATTAGGGTTCGCAATCCCGAAATCCCAAAACCGAAAATACCGGGATTTCGTCTTTTTTCAATACCGAAAATACCGGGATCACAAATCATGATCCCGGTATTTTTAGTATTTAAATTTATGTTGAACACTTCCCTAAGTGCCAAATTATATGAAGCCCTAAGGGTAAGGAATGCTCAGCGCAGAACTTATTGCTCAGGTATTATCCGCTATTTGCACAATCCCAATTATAAAGAATCAGATGCTCTGTTCGATATTCTAAACAAAAAAAAAAGGAAAATTCTTGAAAAACTTATAAAACCATTACAATAAAAACCAAATGTTTCTTTTTAAGAAGACAATGACGAGGATAAAATTTATCTTTCAGCCATGCTACTACTCCGGCCTCAAATTGAAACTAACAATTTTTTAAATCATTGACAAAAAACGCAATGAACCCAATAAAAATGCACCCTCAAACCGATTCGGTAACATAAACTCTAAAAAAAGAAATGTCGCTTTTTGAAAATGGCGGAAGCAGGGATGCATTCCTCAAGCTGAAATATGATTTCTTAATGTCCCCACTAGTGTGGAGTCGGAAAGGGCGTTTTTGGCAGCAGAAACCCTATGTACAAAAATTAGATCCCGACTTGGGAATAATACCCTTAATGAACTCATTTTTTGGGGTATTGGTTTAGCCGCTTTTTTGGTTTAAATTTTCTTTTATTAATAAAATTAATAACTTTGCTTTGTATTCTTTTAGTTTTTAATATTAATCTCGAAATCCCGGTATTCCCGGTATTGTTAAATATCGATATCATAATCCCGGAATTATACATATTTTCTCTTCGAGATTGCGAACCCTAATCACAATACAAATAAACAAACGTATTAAATAGTTTCTCAACGCCAATATTTAAAAAGTTTATATGAACATTGTACTGAGCTTTTAATTTCGCCGGCACTAAACTGGATATAACTTAAATTCGGGCTCGGATTCCACTGTGAAGTGCTCATAAGACATTTTCTTTACTTTCACTGTGAGAAACTGTTGTTAATCCCTTTTCAAAGAATACATAAATGTATTCTCAAATTTTTATGTGTTATAAACACAAATTATAAATCGAAATTTCGATTTATAATGTGTTTATAACACATAAAAATTTGACATTTGACGGTAAAACAGATTCCCCTATTGTTTTATAGATGGCGCTCTATACAAATGTTTCATTTAAATCATTTTAAGGAAATAATAAGTATGTTGGGGTAATCCCCTTTTTACCAAAGTAGGACAGTAGACCAATAAAGGCACGTGTGCCTACTAAGCAAAACAATCTTGGCACAGCTTAGAAATCGAATGGTAACGCAGAGGCCGCAGAACATTGGTAGATGTCGAATCATAGCAGTTTAATAAATTTAGTTAAAAAGTAATAAATAATAAGTGAAGCCCCATCAAATTAGTTTTATTCAGGGTAAAATACCCTGATGTTTTACATCAGAAGTGGGATAGTGATTTCCATGTACAATAATTAGTTTAGTTAAGTTAAATTAAGTTAATTTATAATAAACAAAAGCAGACAAAGAGTTAGTGCATTAAGATGGCAGATGAGTTATCTAGAGCTGAAAATGACAATTTATGTAGTGATGATTTAGATGCAGAAGCAATTTCACAACCTCCAACCCCAAAACGCGTCAAAATGTGGCAAGAAACTTTAATAAATTTAGTTGTGACGCAACAGCAACAACTTGCTGAGTTAGCAAATCAAACCAAGATGGCAATGTCCCAAGCACCTCTGGCAAAGACCACACCTAGTTCATCTGACGAAAATGCGCATGCGTCTTCATCAAGACATGTATACTCTTTCCATGTCACAAGCTACGATCCCGATAAAAGTGCCTATTTAATCAAAGATTGGTTGGATGATGTCACCCAGCTTAAAAGGGAACTAAATGTAAGTGACATTGTAATGATCGCAAAAGCAGGAGATGCACTGAAACGTCGAGCATACAAATACTTTTGTGATTGGAGACCCATTTCCCGAACTTGGGAAAACTTTTGTAATGACCTAACTGTAGCATTTCCTGATCGAGAAACACCAGGAGCACGAGCATATACTGCAGCAACTCTTAGCAGTCGTGATTGCGAATCATTGTGTGATTATGGTAATAAAAAAGTACGTGCAATAAAAAAATGTCACGATAAACTGCCATGGGATACCATTCTGGGCATGGTAGAATATAATTTAAATAATGCAGAGACGCAATCAACAATTAGAATTCAGAAGCCTAGTACAGAATGCGAACTAATGAAATTGTTGAGTGAATACGATGCACGCCGAATCAGCAGTTCTTCTGAAATAATGGAACACAAGTTTGGAAGAAACTGAAAACATCAACGGGAATCAAAAAGTTTTTGTGCACAAAAAGAAACAAAGGTTTTTAAAGGAGCCTGTTTTAAGTGCGGTCAACAAGGACATCAGCAAAGCTCATGCCGTAGTGTGCGTAAATAAAACTCCCGAAATGAAGTTGTTTCTGCCAATAAAAGCGAATTGTCAATTGTTCCTACTTGTGCGCAT